CTCCCGAAGCATCTTCATTGTGTGCTTCTTCATCGCTATCAACAAGCAGTTACACGAATGAGTTCTCCAAAGCTTCCATCTGGAATACTACCAGAATCGATAACAAAACTTAATTGGAGTTAAAGTTGCTCTCCTGGAATGAGACGAGGAGACCCAAAGTCGATGTGTGGAAAGAAGCGCACCTTTCGCCTGGTCGGAACACTTTGAAATCAAGAAACTTCGGCCGATTGGAATTGTTATCGCAGGATTTAGCACTAAGTAGATTCTATTTAATTCAGATTTAGCACGCACAGTTGACCAACAAAATGTCTCTTAAATCACAGAGTGTTAGACAGATATGTTGTTCTCCATATGCGAAAACAGTATAGAAAAAATCCAATAGTAGATAATTCGCAATTTTAGGAACGAAATCGTTCCTTGTGGCCAAGTGCATCACATGGTGATGCACGCCGCAAGCCGAACGAAAAATCGCTTGGCCACGCGCATGGGAAAATCGCCGAAGGCGTCGGTACGCAACTTGTTAATTTTATGAGGTCTGAAGTTAATGTAGTGCATTGCTCTTGTGTAGAAAAGACTGCTGTGTGTGGAACCATGGATGCTAAATTTAGCCTAATTCATGAAGGAGTTCACTGGTATCCCTTAGTTGTACACCTATGTGGTCAGGGTTAGTGCGAAGGACAGATATATAAATTTTTGGTGTCAGCCCCGCCTCCCTTTTTGCAAACCCCACCCACTTCAGGCTTTGAACCACTCCTATTACCGCTATCACTAACTCCAGACACCTTTTCCCGCGTTCTAAAGCGCATCTGGAGAGACCTAATAATTTTGATGTAAGCCTCGCCGACTTCAGTGCCAATCCCGTCCACTTGTGGGATCTGACCACATTTATTCTACTACATCTTACCACTTCTTTCCCGCATCACTTTACGTTTCTAAATAGAGTTATAAATTTTTTTATCTAAGCCCCGCCTACTTTGGCGCCAACCCCGCCCACTTCGAGGATTTGACCACGTGTGTTCCATTACCTCTGACCACTCTTTCCGTGTCCTAGAACGTTTCTGAACGAAGTTACAGTCATTTTTGAAAAGTAGCTTTCACGTCAACGCACGCCCCGCCCATGATGGGCGGAGCTTCGCTAGGCTTACGCCTGCCCAGCACGCATGAGGCCTTGCTCACTCTTTTTATTTTCTCCTGGCCTCGACGCCTTCGCTGAATCGAGCTATGAATCTCTGTGGAAAGTACCGCCCACTGCGAGAACGCTTCGCCAACCGCCGGTAAGTTTCCTTTATTTTAATTTTTGCACCCCTCACCTTTGCACATTTTTCCAGCGTCTAGACTATTATGAGGCCGAATGAGAAGAATTTGCCCATGACCCCGCCTAAGTCCGGCGCACGTCCCGCTTCTTGGGGGAGCTCCGCTAGGCTCACATGCGCTCTGTTGCACTTACCCTATGCGCAACCCATTCCAAACTTGATCTGACCTCTCCAGGTGTTTCTTCAGGTTATATCGAATTTCCGTACAACCAAATAAACAGACAGGCAGAGCGCTTTACATATAGTAAGGATATACGAGCTCAGCGCAACTCCGCCCACAGGGTGCGCAGCAAGTACCGGAGCAGGCGGTGCCAAGGGCTAAACATCTTATTTTGGTTCGAAACGCTCCAGACACCGGGAAAAATGTAGGAAAGGGAGGATTGGGTCAACAAACCAGACGAAGGAGACATACCTGCTGTGGGGTGGCGTCCTCAAAATGGGTGGTTATTTCCACATAGATTTGTAACTCGATTCAACGAAGTGCGGAGGCCAAAAAAAGGATGTGATCAAGGCCTAATATGTGCCATGCTCACGTGGCCTTAGCAGAGCTACGCCTACGATATGCTGGGTGTGCATTCGACTTGAACGTACTTTTTAAGATCATCCTACTTTATATGATTCGCTAAATGTGTCTGTTGGTGTGTCGGTGTGTGTGTTTGACCGGAAACTCATAACTCCTGTTCCCATAGACCTTGAGAGTTCAAGTTTGGTAGTTTGGTAGGAGTACGAGGGACAGGATGGGAATCCCCATGGCAGCTGGCAGGAATAGACCCCGCCTACAGGGGGCGGGGTACGCGCAATGGGAATTTTGGACCGCGTATTCATAACTCCTGCTTTCGTGGACACTCCGCCTCCGCCTACAAGGGGCGGCGCGTGCGCGAGAGAAATTTTTGACCGCAAATTAAAATCAAAATTTCAACTCTTCGGTATTCACGATGTAGCTTTGACTGTTCAGTATGCTTCAGTCGATAAGACTTGATGGTAGAGTAGGATAATAAAAGTGAGTGGTAAGTGCCGTGGTATGGGCTCACTACGATAAGCAGATGAGGATTTTGTTCATTTCTTGCTGTTAGATTACGACCGCTACCCACCAAGGTTTGTGACACAGTTTTACCGGTACTCATCAAGGTTTGTGACTCGGATTTTTTTATTTATTCTTAAGAAGGAGAGCAAAATATTGGCGTCTTCCAACTGAAAGCGTAAGCACCGACTAAATACTATTTGCACTCTTTTTTAGCCCTTGTTAATGCCTTATAAAATAAAGAAGAATCAATAATCTCAGCATCGCTCTGCACAATTGCTCATGTACCAATAAAGTTGCGTAGCAGATTCCTCAAACAATTAATCTAACGAAAAGATTTTAGTGCTCTATTCTTCTTGTTGATTTTTCTATTCATACCATAACCAGTCGGGCTGTCCGGGTTACGCCGGGCCTCAATCCTTACACTTCCGTTAGAAAATGTAGTTAGGAGGGAGCGTCATTTTTGTCCAACCTGAGGGCTAGAGGAGAGGGAGGAAGTGGTAGCCTGCCATTACTGTGGTTAGAGTTGTTCATAGACGAAAGACAATCGATTCACTCACTCCGGTGTCCCTTCCCTCCTGATGCCTAGGTCAAAAAGCTGCATTTTCTCGTCTAAGAAAGCTTCCACGAATGAAGGCTGACCTCTTCATCTGCGCTCCAGCGCTCAATGTTGAAAAAAAAGGTCTCCCAGTTACATTATCATCTCCGATTTTTTGTATAGACATACACAGCACGATACCATTACAGATCGAAATCAAAGTTTTGAAGTACATACTCCACATTACTCCTTCACTCCGCAATACTCTATTCTGTTGACCTACACACCAGGTCACTGTTTTATATATTAAGAGGGACTGTAGAATAGAGCTGGGTTTTCCATAACACTACCTTTATCGTTATCATAAAGTTTCATGGACGGACAGACAGACAAAGAAGAAGCCGGCAAAACTACAAACTGACCCACCAGGTTACTGTTTTATATAAAAGAGATATAAATCGTATTATTTCCCTTTGTCTGCAGCGGGTATAGGTCGAAACACCGATTAGCTTTAACAGCTAGTATCAGTCTAACAGGAATTATGATGACACAGTCATTGGCTGCTTTCAAAGTCCGCCGGCCGGCACGCACGCCGGCTTGCACGCCGGCCGGCCGGCCATAATTTTACTTATTTCGACTTGATGTTTTGCTGGCTGCTGTTACAGTAGCGCTCAAAAGTATTCAGCCGAATGCTTCTTCACTCGTACTTTTCAGTCATAACTGCTTTCCTACTGGATCTTATCACGCGAAATTTCAATATGTGTAGCATCGGTGTAGTGTGAATATCTACCACAATTAACCGCCAGTCTGATCATGCTCCAAATATCCCAAAGAGCTCGAAATCAAAATCAATTGGAAGTTCAGACATTGGTGCTTCTGGAATTTCTTTCCTTTTTGCCATGTCCAAAGTATACGAGCGCTAACGCGGAACACAGAAGAGTAGAAAAACGCAAATAGGGCCCGTTTTCGTCAGTTTCCTTGATTTGCTATTTTCTAAGATATGTATTTCTCTGAATACGCCTATTTTCACATTTTCTCCGTCGTTTGTGATCTTTCTTATGTTGATGACTGCCATAATTCGTCTTATAGGCACAGTTCACAATAATTTTGAGGTTTCCCTTTTCAGTAGAAAAGCGGAAGTATAGTTTGGAAATAGTTCATTGGTAATGAAGAAAGCAGGGGAAGTCGCTCGATTTCTAGGAAAATAAGGCTCCTTATAAGTAGGGAAAATAGAGGGTTATAGTTATATGAACCTCCTCCTTGGGTTCTCTTGTAAATGGTACAGCTTCTACAATGCCGGTGAAACTCGTGCGCGCATAAATACGGTACAATCTTTGAGCCCTTATCACCTCCTGGTTAGGCCGTTTTCTGACCTGAGAGTGCCAGATATAGTATTCGAGAGGGCCTTGAATTCATCCTATGAGGAAATCTCAAAAGCCACTTAAGTCGTGAATTGTGCCTTTAAACACACCCTAAAATTCTCGTGAACTGTACCCTTCACATATGTCCTGGATGTGTCCTTGAGCTTCTACATCGGCCTTTTTTATCTGCGGCTGTTCCTAGCTTCTGGATTTGTCTGGTGGTCATTTACACATGGCTTGTTATTTCTAAAATCCGTATAATATTCAGTATCATTGAAAAAGAAATGGTGTTCTGCATCCTACCAAATGCGAAAAAAATCGAGGAAATGTCGAAGAAGGGAAAAAAACTCGATATGCGCACTTGCACGCGCTGTCATCATAGTTCTGGTCTACTCAGTAAAGTCAGTTTTCAGAGATAAATTATATTAGTCGCAGGATAATGGCTAAATGTTATTATGATGCGGAGCAGACTCATACTTTCTGAAATCAGGGGAAATGATCAGAGCTCTGTCCTGAAATTAGTTTTATAGATTAACGGCTTGAAGTATCCCGCTGTTTAGCTTGTTTTTGTTTATAAGTAGATTTTTCATAAGAAAAATAGGGTCAGTTGTTGTGAATTGAAGGTGGATCCTTATAAGTTTAATGTAGGTTTCAAAGCTCATTTTTTTTAGGTTTCTGCCAATTCGGTTTATGGTTTTACTGGTGCGACTGTGGGGAAATTACCGTGTTTGGAAATTTCTCAGTCGGTTACAGCTTTTGGAAGGCAAATGATTGATTTGACGAAAAGTGAAGTTGAGAAACGGTACATTGCTGGAGCTCTCAACGGAAAATGTCCTGCAAATGCCCAAGTTAAATTCCTATCATTTTTTACTCAAATGATGCCAGATTTTCTGGATTCATTTTGAATATTATTAAAGGTGATTTACGGGGATACAGACTCAGTGATGGTTAAGTTTGGCGTCAAAACAGTGGCTGAAGCTATGGAAATAGGTTTGGATGCAGCCACAGAAGTAAGCAAAATATTCACCCCACCGATCAAGTTGGAGTTTGAAAAAGTGAGTCACTTGGGCATCGCTGCTCAACTTCATCCAATAACTCAAGGGTAAGTTTCAGGTTTACTTCCCATACCTACTTATTAACAAGAAAAGATATGCAGGCCTTTATTTCACAAAACCAGACAAACACGATAAAATGGATTGTAAGGCAAGTTTAATATTTTCTGTACGTTTTCTTTTTCATTTCATTTTCTGACCAATAAGCGCAAAAGTCTTTGTGGCGAGTGAAGAATAGTTCACAGCTGAGCAGGAAATCATTCCATGTTCGTCGTTGAGCATTGGTTTTATTTTTGCGGGTCTCTCATTTCAGGGACTCGAAACTGTGCGACGCGATAACTGCCCTCTAGTGGCGAAGGTGCTGAATACGTGTCTGGAAAAGCTTCTTATTGCTCGAGATGCTACTTCAGCGCTCGAATTCGCAAAAAGAGTTATATCAGACTTACTCTGCAATAAGATTGACATTTCGCTGCTAATCATAAGCAAGGAGCTGACGAAGTCTGGAGATGTAAGTGCCGTAATTATGCTGCTGCGTGCTGGAGTTGAGGAAAGATAAGTATTGCTCATAAGATATTGGCTGTGGTGCAGTAGATAGACCTATATCAACCTATTCAAGGGGATCCATGGAGAGTTAGCCTTATCACAAGGGTAAAAGGATCTTTCGGCTAGACCACGATATTCTGTTGATCTTTTCATGACCTTTGACGATTATGTATGTTTACTTCAGCCTTTCCGAGATTTTAGACTGTAGCGGTACCGTTTCGGCGAGTTCGCCTCCGTCAGAGCCTGAAAGTTGAAAAACCATTGAGATTGATTCTCTATTAAGGCAAGAAATTGATTTTGGACTTTCAGGCTCTGACGAAGGCGAACTCGCCGAATTTTTAGCCTCCAAACACAACTTTGGTGCTCACAAGCCTATGGGAACTTGCTGTACGGGGTGCTGGTATAGAGCGATTTGTTGCACCCCGTGAAGAGCGGTGTGGATGTTGAAGAGGAGAACTTCATCTGCTCTCTTCAACTTAATGTTATTATTAATATAATATAATAATTATATCAACATAATAATATTATTAGCATTATTGTTGCTATAACACTAATATTAATATTATATTTATACACTAATATGGAAAGGGTTATTTGCAACCACAAATGAGACGTAGTAGTGTTTGCATACTCAGAATTCTTCAGAAATATCAAGCCAAGCAAGCACACGTGGAGTTGGCGGCCAGAATGCGGAAACGAGATCCAGGATCGGCACCTCGACTTGGTGATAGGGTCCCCTATGTTATCAGTGCGTTTTTGCTAATGCTCTTCATTAACAAAAGTTACAAGAATACCTTCACAAATGGCAGAATAATAAGAATGGAAAAGACATCTGTACCAACACTAGTTAGACTGCCGCAAATAGTTTCATTATTTAGCTTTGAAGTCCTGTTTGCCTCTTTTTGTTCCGCAGAGGGGACTTTGGGTGTCGTGTCCTTCTGAACTTCTAGCGCCTCCCTTTCTCTTATCTGCAGATTTTTCGACGTTCTTCTTACACGTGTTTTGACATAATATTTTTGTTCCCATGGCCATCCTCCCTGGTCTTCAATGTCCATCATTTTAATACCTCTTCTATGTCTGCTCGTTGAATCATGGGTACCTCCTCTCCACTGTTCTTGATGTTATATATGAGCGAAATCTATCGCTGTCGAGTTAAGAGGTATTGTAACAATGGACAATGAAGACCTTCCAAAGGCGCAGTTCAAACAGGCAAACAGGTTTCTTAGATCTCCACTATAATGAATCTGCGGCCTCCGAAAATAGTAGTACATCGGGCGTTGTGGGACCGAAAAACGGCATAGATAGGTCATACAAGGGCTCCAAAATCGTCCGACGCAGACACTCAAAGTGGCCGCGTTGTTCAGGCCTTGTTCTCACTACACAATTCACGGTACGAGAAATTAGTACACACAAATGAGAGACCCCCAGAAGGTCATCTCAAAAACCCCCTTCATTGCTTTTTTGAAATTTTTTTATTTTTCGAAACCCAGCAATTCTCGCGCTTTTTTCGTCACCTTTCCACTATGCTGCACCTTGGCTTTCATCATTTCACTAGAACTGATAGCTCGCAAGATCATCGTGAGCTGTGCCCTGTGGGGTCGCAACTGTCTTATAAAGTGAGCCATCAACATTTCACGCAAAACGATGATTCGACCTTCTCGATTTGATATTATTGATAATTTATTTGATGATTTAATATTGTTTGGTATTCGATTCTACTTATCTCCCCTTAAAATTTCTGTCAATGAATTAGCGCATTATAGTTGCCTCGGCGAAGAATGTACCCGCCTACGAGAAAGCAGAAGACCCAGCTTTCGTTCTGAAGAATAATATTCCAATTGATACCAAGCACTACCTCACCAATCAGTTGGCAAAACCTCTTGCTAGGATTTTCGAGCCAATTTTGGGTGATCGTGCTGAGCGGGTATGTTTTTCGTTTTATTGCAATTCTTTGATTAATAGCTCGCTATTGTTGGTCGTCCGTCCAGATCAACTTAGGAGCGCAGTTCACGTTTAAAATGTCCTCTGAGATTTCTCCTTCGATGAACCCGTGAACCCCAAGGGTAGATTACGAGGGGGTCGAAGAACGCCAAGATAGGGGTGGTAAGGGCCACAAACCCGGCCCATTACGTACACCCCAAACACGGACGAGTTCTAACGGCGTTGTAGAAGCTATAGCGGATGCACCATTCGCACGGGGACCCGCGCCTTGCACATACCAAATACCCCTTCCATGCAACTTCTGCCGTTACATTCTCGTCCATACCCTAATTTTACTTCTTTTTCAAAACATTATACTACTTTAAATACGTCGTTTCCCGCCATTTCTTCGCTACTTTTGCGCTGTATTGGAATACAGCAGTTCGGCTTTCCATAGCCCTTGACCCGTTTTATTTGCTTGTCAATTTCTGTAACGAAACGATTCCTTCATTTGTACTTAGTTAATCGAGCTCCTTACTGCTGCGTTTCAAAGCGAAGTTGTCAACCATACGTTTGCGTGTGTTCATGGAGAAATCTCAGGAATTGTCTCAGAAATCTCAGGCATTGTCTCAAAAATAATTTAACCTGCGTTTTTTTCAGCAGTGAACGAAAGGTTCGAGTGACAGCCCTGGTCAACCAGAAAATTCGAAGCAGAAATGGGTAGAGTCTTGCAGAAAGGCCATGCAGATAAAAGGGAATTTCGGAAAGTTACGAACAGCATGAGTAAGATGGAGGAACCTGAAGGATCTGAAACGCAACGCCTCCCAAAGAAATTCACTTATTTTCTGAATTCGAAATAGAAGGGTTTCAATGACAAACATGACGATAGTATTGTCGACATCCGCAAAAATTCTTCCAATCATTCGTAGTTTTGTCAGCGTTTTCTTCTTAATCACTCACTATGTTGGCGGCACGCTTTGATATTTGCAAAACTCACGCGACGACGTTCATCTTTAGAGCGTGGGGATAGAACATCTGTGGTTGACAGAGAAGAGGACCAAACTCCATTCGCCGATTCTGAATTGAGCCTCTGATATTTTTCAGACACGTTATCGTATGGTTTTCATCTCTTGAGACTTGCTCATTTAAAAAGAGTTGAGTTAGGGAGGAATTCCGAGCAGAGGTAACAGTGTATACTACTACCAGTCGGATCGCTCGGCTGGTGTTTGCGCTTTTTTCGGCGCCGCTTGTGTTCCTCTAAACTTGGACGTTCTGGTTTAGGAGAAACAGAGTTATCAAATTCCAGAGCACGCACGCTCTGGAACATCTCGCTCCGCCCGTCATCAGCAAGTTCCTGCTCAGTACTGTGTGTTCAAGTAACTTGCACTATTCCCACTTGTTCCAAATTGCGTATTTTTTCACGTTTCACGTGATGCGTCGAAATAGTTGAATTGGTTGTCGTCGTGGTGTCCCGGTTGGGCGGTAGCAGGTGTAGAGATACTATGAAGTTGACTGCTGTATGATGATTTGCCGTTGCCATTTATGACGCTGTTGATTTGTTGTTGTGGTTCATCGGAGGAGAGTTTCGGCTCGTAGTCGATTCCCTGCTGTCCCAAATGTTCAGCGATAAGTAATTCATGCGTGTCGATTCGTTCGAGCAATTCGATGGCTCTATTGATATCTAATCTGTAGTCGCCGTATTTAGTTATGTACTCGTTGAAAACTGCCACCTCGTCGTTGTCTGCGGTCAACAGTGTGGACCATTCGTCGTTGAGTCTCTGCAGTTTGTCGAGCTTCGCGATGATGGTTTCTCGATGGTTGTGCTGGATCGCGATATAATCGAGGAGTGTGTCGTTGTTGCTGGAGCTTATGAATGTGTGAGCGTCATCTTGAAGATCGTTTTGACAGAGTTCGATGGCATGCGTGAGCTGCTTCCTTACTGCTCCAATTTGTCTTCGTAGGTGTGCACTGATTCGTCTGGAAGCGGAGATATTGTCGTCGGGCATCGTTGAGAGCTGGTTGCGGCGTTGATGCTGTCGAGGCTGGTAGTAGGGAGGAGATGAGAGGAAGAGTTATCAGGATTGACGAAGGACCTCTAGGGAACGGTTCCTTGATCTTCGGAGGTTTATTGAAGACGGCAGTTCTTGACTGCTGTGGTCGCCATGTAATTGACGGCCTGACCAAACGATGAGTCTGACGAAGTCGTTTATTGCGATAGGGCACAAAGCGAAATGTATGCGGTCATTTGAGCTTATATACGGAGCAAGTTTTAATTATGTTTGACGTAAAAAGAAACATTTTTCTCTGAGCCTACCGCTTGGTATGGTCTTACAAGAAATTGTCTTGTATTTGGGTGAAGTGACTAAGCTTAGACATTTTGTGGAATTCGAAGACGTGAGCGATTCGAAATTTGATTGATATGATTCATTTTAATTTTCTCTCTAATTTCGTAGAATAGTGAAGACACATGCTCATATCAAGCTTGAATTCCCCGATTCCTTCATAACAATTTCGTGCGTATCCGTTCCCACGCCCAAAGTCCTGGGGATTACTACTTGCCATCCACTTGATTCGTGAAGAGAGATTGAGAGGATGGATGTCTTCAGTTCCATTCAAAATGGTAACTGCAATCGCTACAAATCTATTCAAACTCGCTCGTCCAAACTTGCATTTCATAAAACATTAGACGTTCGGTGTAACTGGGTTCGAATGCAGTCTAGCCGAAGAGAAGTGATCACTTTTTTACAGACACTGGTTGAAGGCGAGCACACAAGAGTCAGGACTATGGTGCAGAGTAAAGTAGGCGGTCTTGCCGCTTTCACAAAGAAGATGGTCACTTGCTTAGGGTTTGTCAACCTTTTTGAAGGTTTAACATCAAAATTTATTACGTTTTTTAGATGCAAAGCAGTGCTGAAGGACCAAACCGGTGCTGCTTGTGATTTTTGCATATCTAAAGGGAAACTTCCTGAGATTTATGTCGGCAGGTATTTGGCTTTTCAAGAAAAGATGTGTCGCATTTGTACTGCAATCACAGTTGATCGCGGTTATTGGCAATGCATGAGCCCGGCGCTATGGGAGGAACCACGTGTGATACGATATGATGTAACTCAATTAAAGAAGACAAGTGCATTGAAATAAAAGCAAAGCTAAACTGTAATGATACGGTAATGGTCTGTTCCATTACTACGATCTCGTTCGCGTTCTGTGGCTCAGTTGTGCTTTGTCGCTGATGATTATCCTAATTTCATGCCCAAAAGCGTTGCTGGGCTTGTTAAGCGATCAGTCATTTCTGCAGAGTATAAATCCAACGAAAACAACAGGGTTCGTAATGGACGTCCTTGCGAAGTTTGTGTGAAACTAATATTGAAAGCGGTGATGTTTTTACCGTTTCGTTCCCAACTGGAATTGTTCTAACACGCGCTTACCGCTGATCTATTTCACTGAGGGTTTTCTCTATATCTCTTGTAGGATCTCTAGCAGGTCGATGATCAGTGTTGCGGATAGGAGAGTAAATCCCGGTCCAAAGTCATCGGCATTAGCCCAGAGAATCAGGAAGGTATAGGGGATGGACTCCGTGTTTCTGCTGTGCTTGGTCGATATACCTTCTGTACACTCGCAGGTGTAGAATGCATACGTGTTTGGAGAGTCTTAGAATGCGGTTGGTATCCTGCTTATTGGTTCAGTCAAACTCGTGCATCCGAATAAGTGAGAACTTCTTGACACTGACACTTCGGGGTCACCTGCGATGGCTATGCCCCTTGTCCACTTTGGATAGCTTGGTTAGCTACCAGAGTCTGCTCAGCCCCCACTCAGACCCTACTTTATACTTGTGGGACCTTTGTGCTGAAAATGTAATAGAAATGGGCCTCATTTGTCGTAAAGAAAAAGTCACCCAACGTGGCAGGGTTGAATAAGAACGATCGGAATAAGCTGCTAGTATTTTAGGGCCAAATAGGTAGCCCAAAAAGAGAAGAACTAAGATGTTGATCTACCCTTCAATATACTTGCATCAAAAGGGATCAAAGCTGTTTCCGCTGTTCCGCAGGGAGCTATTTTCAAGGCTGTAGAAGAGCTCCTCCTTGGAACATGCGACAGCAGAACCGTCTGCGGAAAGTGAAGATGTGGCTCGACTCCACTCTGACAATCTTCGTTGTCTACGCACCAATATCAATAAGAATTACCGCACCTGTTAAGAATAGGAGCTAAAAGCGTTTTGTAGGAACTTGGAAAGGCTCTTCAAGCGGACCAGACTTTCTTGGAGGTCATCGTCGGTCATTCTAGCTCCAAAATTACCGAACGGCTGAAGAGCGTATCCTACTATATATAACGCGCTAAGTGTGTCTGTTGGTTTGTCTGTCTGTGCGTGTGTGTATGTGTGTGTGACCGGAAATTCATAACTCCGGTTCCCGTTGACCTAGAGAGTTCAAATTTGGTAGGAGTACAGGCGGCAGGATAGGAACACTAATGGTGGGTGGCGGGATCGGACTCCGCTCCACAGGGGGCGGGGTTTGCGCGAAATAAGTGTGTGAGCGGAGAGTCGTAACTTCTGTCCCCGAGAACCTAAAGCGTTCAAACTTGGTAGGAGTACAGGCGGCAGGATAGGAACACTAATGGTGGGTGCCGGAGCCGGACTCCTCCCACAGGGGGCGGGGTTTGTGCGGGAACTCATAACTGCAGTCCCCGTGGACCTAGAGCGTCCAAATTTGGTAGGAGTACCCCAGATGGGATGGGAACGCTTATGGAGGTGGCAGGACCAGACTCCGCCCACAGGGGGCGGGGTTTGAGCAGAAATTCATAACTCCTCCCCCCGTAGACCTAGGAAATTCAAATTTGGTAGGAGTATCCCAGATAAAATGGGAACGGTTATAATTGGTGGCAGGACTGGGCTCCGCCCAGAAGGGGGCAGGGTTAGCGCAGAAACTTATAAATCCTGTCCCTATAAACCTAGAGAGTTCAAATTCGGTAGAAGTACAGGCGGCAGGATGGGAACACTTATGGTAGGTGGCGGGGCTGTATTCCGCCCTAGGGGATGGAGTTTGCAGAGAAATGTCAAAATGGACCAAGAGCGACCAAACTTGGTAGGAATATAGGAGGCAGGATAGGTACACTGATGATAGGTTGTAGGACTAAACTCCGCCCCAAAGGGCGGGCGTGAATTAATACTGTTAGTTCGAACCCAGACCGTTGAAACTTGAAGGCACAAGAGTTGGCTGGGAACATTGATGGTTGCTACCATAATAGACTCAGCCGCGATGAAGTCTGTGGATACTTTTTTCCACTGAATGATCGCCTTTGTGATATTATACGATGTTCTATTTGGACACAGCGAAGATGGCTTACAAAAAATTGCTCCCATTTCGGAGCTAATACTGAGGGTGTAGAGCTTTCAAAGAAGAAGGAGAATCCAAAGAGTTATTCACGCATAGCAAATTTCTCACAGGAAGGAGGAACGCCCGGCGTAGCCGGGCGAACCCATAAGAAGGAGGGAAGCCCGGCGTTAGCCGGGCGGCCCGACTGGTATTGCGATTCACGGAACAGAGTGGAATGAGCAGGGTGGAAAACTGTCCAAGTTTATCGTGTCAACCATACTCTATATTCATTCGCAGTTCTATGAGCTCTCTCATTTACGATAGACATGGAAGTCAACTGGTAGTTCCACCATGAAGTTTCCCTTCGTTCAGAGCTTTCGTGAAGAAGTCTGACCATCGCGTTGGTGGCCGCCCTGATGTTCGAGAGCTTTCGTGAAGAAGCCTGACTATCGAGTTGGCGGCCGTCCTGGTGTTCGCTTGACTTCCCGATGGATCCACTCAGTACCCGCCCTGGTTCAACGGTCATCACTATTTATAACGTATACATAACGTGTCCGGCCCACCTGATCTTCGATTTCTCGGCGTAATCAACGGCATCCCTGATCTTCTTTTGTTGATGAAGCTCGGAACTCCGGATTCCCTTCTGCTTTTGCGTGTATAGGGAAATTCTGAGCATCACATTTCAAAGGCGCTAGAATAATGCTGACAGCATGCTTTCGATAGAGTCCAAGTCTCCGAGGCGTACGTCAAGCGGGAAGGGCAGAAGTGTCGAGAAGGTGAGCGCGGAGCCGGAAGTTCTTTGTCTTCTTCACTGCTCCCTCGATATTTTTAAATGCTCCCCACGCGGCGCGTTTCCCTCTGCACAGCTTCGGAGCTAGGTCGTTCATCATGTTGACTTCCTAACCTAGATACACGTAGCTAGGGCATTCAGTGAATTTCTGAGTTCCCCATAGGATTAATTCTAGGCCCTCTATCATACCATATTTGGGCTGCAAGGTCGGAAAGCGGCCTAGCTAGGGAGTTATAAAGGCTCAAAGGTTGGCCCGTGTATATCCTCGGACAGATTCATCGGCATTGTAGAGGCTCCGCCGATCACAAGGGAACCCATGAAAGAAGTTCAAACAACTCGTCATGACCCATAGCGACAGTGAAGGGCAGTTCTGGCTTGATATAGTCAGCTCTTTGCTCAATTGCAACAACTGAAATCTCTTCCGTGGTACCCTTCATGTTATTTCCGTCATGATAATTTCGTCTAAGCTTCGCTTTCCTTACTCCTGAGGAGTCTTATTTTTCTCGAAATTCGCTTTCTCGCTTTCTTAACTACCGATGAACTATTCACAACCTATAATTCCGCTTTTTGAATAAAAAGAGTACCCCGAAATTGTCGTGAACTGTGCCTTTAAGCTTTAAAGGAGCATTCGGAACCATTCCGTTTCCCATGAACATCGATTCCGTTAGGTTCAGTCAAGCCGATCTTTCCACAAGCACTGTCGAACTCGGCCGCCTGCTTGATGTTAGGTGTTATAAACATGATGTCGTCTGCAAAGCGGACGTAATGTAATGGCCATCGACCTCCGCTCCCAAGTCTTCCCATTCCAAATGACGCATGATATGACAAGTTGAAGTGATCAGTTATGTATGAAGTATGAACTGACAAGTTTGGACGAAACGGTATCGCTATGCCGATACCTCTTGTCACATTGATCATGACTTCCTTGTGTAATGTGTACTTCAATGATTCTTGTAAGTGTGGATCTAATCGATTGTACTGAACTCCGAAACCCTGCTTGCTCGCTGGTTGTCCCTAATCTAATACCAGTTTGGCTCTGCACGCTAACGCGCGCAGTATATGTCGATGGCCACTTATCAACGATGGAGTCATTCAGCGGAATGTTGGATAATCAGAATAAGATAGTTCTCTCTAGATTCGAACGCTGAACTGCAGATAGCATCACGCTCGATATATTTGAGCACAGTTATTAGTGGTTCTAGAACGTTTCTGAACAGAGTTATGAAATTTTGATCTAAGCCCCGCCCACTTTGGTGCCAACTCCGCCCACTTTGGGGATCTGACCACATTTGTGCTTTTACACCTTGACACCTTTTTCCCGCACTCTAGAACGTTTCTGAACAGAGCTGTGAAATTTTGATCTAAGCCCCGCCCACTTNTCGGGATTTGACCACATTTGTCACATTACCTCTAACCACTTTTTTTCCGCATTCTATAACTTTTCCGAACGAAGTTACACTAATTTTTGAAAAGCAGCTCTCACCTAAACGCACGCCCCGCCCCTCGTAGGCGGGGCTTCGCTATACTTATGCATGCTTAGCACGCATAAGGCCTTGCTCACTCTTTTTATTTTTTTCCCTGACCTCGACGCCTTCGTTAAATCGAGTTATGAATCTCTGTGGAAGGTACCGCCCACTGCGAGAACGGTCCACCCACCGCCGGTAAGTTTCCTTCATTTTGATTGCTGACCCATCCCTCACCTATGCACATTTTTTCCCGGTGTCTGGAACATTATGAGACCGAATTAGAAGAATTCACCCATGACCCCGCCCAATTCCGGCGCATGCCTCGCCCCTTGGGGCGGAGCTCCGCTAGGCTCACATGTGCTCTGTTGCACTTACCCTATGCGCAACCCATTCCAAACTTGACCCGACCTCTCCAGGTGTTTCTTCACGTTATATCGAATTTCCGTACAAACAAACAAACAAACAAACAAACAGACAGACAGACAGACAGACAGACAGACAGAAAGACAGAGCGTTTTATATATAGTAAGGATTCTGACGGCCCTGTTCAGGACAAAGCGTGTGAAAAGCTTGTAGGTTACAGGCAGCAGGCAGATTGGGCGATAATTGCCAATGTCGTCTGGATCTCCCTTCTTATACAGTACACACGACGTGGGCACTTTGCATTCCGACAGGTACCGTGTGAAGAGCCTAGCGAGAGTTCTGATGATGACTGGTGGGATACTCTTCAGATGGTCTGGTTTGATCCTATCGGGACCGGGCGCTGTACAGTTCTTCATCGACGTGATGGCATGTCGTTTTTCGGAAAAGAGAATCGAAGGAGCGATATATTCGTCTTGCCTAAGATTTTAGGTAGGAAGTAGACGTGGCTGTCGAAGAGATCAGAGTAGAAGTCACAGATGACATTCTTCATGGCCCTTCGGGATGCCGTAACAGTTCCGTCAGAACGGCGAGGGAAGTCATCTTGGTCTTGTAGTTGGCGAAGCTCCGTCGGGCTTTGCGAATGCTCTTTCCGGCCTCGGCGGCTTCGTCCATGACTGCTGCTCTTCTCTCTTTCAGATCTTCCTTTATCGCTTCTCTGCATATGTAGGCTGCCTTTTATATTTCGGGATTTGAAAACAGGAACAAATACTATTTATTTAAAATCGCTTTACTGCCTTCCAAAATTCTCCACATTAAGATTTATACACTTCTGCATGGGCTCAAACCAATTTTCGAAGCACTTTTGCCACTCTGATCAAGGTCTCTAAAACATGCGTTCTGAACGCATCAACGGCTTCTTCAGGTTTCGAAAAACGTTGACCTCTCATTTTATTTTTTACGTACGGGATGAGAAGAAGTCACACGGGGGCTACATGACTGATGACCTGTCAAATCGTTATTTTGAGTGCTCGAAAATGCAGTTGTTTGAGCCGATGTGTGGGAGCTCGCATTGTCTGGCGTGGCATCCAACGCCAACAAATTTTTTTACGGTCAAATGTTCATGCAAAAATGAATGTAAGCCAGTCCCACTAATGCTTAAGGTTGCCTCAATCTCACGATAGGTTACATGACGATCTCGCAGTATTAGTTTGTGCACAGCATGAACGGTTTCCGGAACAACAATTGATTTTGGACGACCTCCACGAAATTCGTCTTCGAGTGAACTACGACCTCGGGTGAACTCACTGTACCATCGATAAACACTGATCCTGGATGGAGCTTCATCTCCAAAAATTGAACCAAGTTCATCCATGCATTGCTGTTGAGTTAGTCCACGTCGAAAGTTGTCGCGCGAAAATGCCCACGGTTCAACTCCATAACTTGGCCGAAACAAAATCTTATAACTTAGTGTAAACAATACAAATCGCGCTCAAATTTTGCAACGGAACCTCAAAATAGTCAAACTTTACGATAGTGGTGTCAGTTGCTAGATTGCTACACTAGTGTTTCCAAATCCCGAAGTATAAAAGGCAACCCTCGTAGCTTCGCAAGTTCGGACGTTTGTTGATGATTGCCTGCAGCTCGCGCGATTCCTCGATGGCGAATCAGCTCGAGGGTGTTCGAAGAGTTGTCTGCTGGCTACTTGTAAGCTCTGTGCCTTCCTAGCACTATCGTGATTTGACAAGCCGGTTGTATTCTTCATCGATGTTGTCGATGACGGAGTCTTCCCCTTCACTCGCAAGGGAAGCGAAATGATCCCACTTAACGGAGGTCTTGGTTCTTTGTTTCTCAAAGCTCACAGCTCTCTCCACGGATTGAGAATTAGAGTTTAGTGCGGAGGAGATGATGTTCGATTCCGTGAAGAACTGCGGAAGAGCAGCGACATCAGTCAGGCGGAACCTCCTATTAAATATGATGTGGTACATTTCGTTATGGAACTGTCACCAGGTGACTCCCATGTCCAACGCAAATGACAGGGCTTCTAGAACTGCGAGTTACCATGGATGGTATGGGTCGACTCAATGAGCTCGGACAACCTTTTAACCTGCTCCTCCATCCCATTCCGTGAGTCCCTATGTGAAGTTCTTCAGCCGTTCTTCTGGGGCTAAACTTGGCGTTGAAATCTCCAATGATGACCGTGAGGAAAGTATGGCTTCTCATGGAGCCTTTCCAATTCCATATAAAATGCTTCCAACCTCTTTTCGTAGTTTGAGGTTGCTGCGTAGTCAACGAAGATTGTTAGAACTGGGATTGAGCCGTATCTTCTTAATCGCAAACGTCCGATTCGGGTTGTCAAGCTTTCGTACGAATCGATGTTCATGGCCAAGTGTGTATTGACGAGGACACCTACACCGCCGACGCCTCTACTGTCGCATGTTCCAAGGTACAGTTCCTCTCCATTCTCAAATGCAGCGTGCAGCGGGCGATGCTTTGTCGTCTCAGTCAGTCAGATGACGTTATACGTGATTTTCCTAGCTTGCATGATCAGGTTTTCTTTACACGCTTCCGATCCAAGCGTCCGTGCATTGAAGGTACAGATTGCAGTCTTAGTCCTTCTCCATTGGGAGCCTGCTTTGGCCCTGACATTTTACGCAACTCTCGAGCGACCCTGCCCATCGCTGCCGTATTGGGAGCTCCCTCAGGTTCAGGAGGAATTCATATTACTGATTTTGGCAAATGGGTACCCAACGTAGCTTGCCAGACTTTAACGTGGGGGCAGGATTGACTCCGGGTGCTAGCCAGGCGGTTCTGAAGTGGACGGGGGGATTTGTTTTTGCAGGCGGCTCCGAATCGCCTCCCAGATCCAGACTTCCCAGTCATTTGAATGCAAGTTTACGGGGAGTCGATGGGCAGGATGTGAACTGCAACCAGAGACTCTCCACACACGTATGCGTGGGTACGCCTGCGAGAAACAGAGGGTGTATCGACTCAGCACAGCGTCTCTGGGCAAGTACCGGCGGCTTTTGGTCGGCGATTCATTCCCCTACCCGCCCCCTGAATCTGGTATCTTCTTCCCGAGTATGTCGTCGTGTTCGCCGCACCCGATCGCGCGCTATGAAGGGGAAGGTTTGAATTCTCAGTGCAAGAATGGGATAGCCGCCACGACCTTTGCCGCTTGCCGTGGAAATTTGGAGAGATGTTTCGCCACCCCTGTCNGACAGGGGTGGCGAAACATCTCTCCAAATTTCCACGGCAAGCGGCAAAGGTAGCCTCGTCGCTAAGCGACTGGGAACTTTCAGTGAGAGATAATCCTCAGTGAAGGATATCTGTAGCGGTAAACTTACTAATAAAAATTTGATATCCCAAATTTCGTCTGCTACGGCGATGCTGTGCTCCGGTCTTGGAAAGGTAGTTCTCCCTAATGGTGTAGCCACAAATATAATAGTGGCAAAAAGTTCTGTCATTTCCAAAAAGAAAGTCGATGTGGTTTTATTTCTAGATTTTGGAAATCAATAAATTTTTATATGTTACGCGTTTGCACCTATCTGTTTGTTGAAAAGGAAATTCGATATTAGCCGGTGAAGCACCTGCAGAAGTGGGATCAAGTTGGGATGGGTTGGGCATAGGGCACGACCAACAGATCACTTGTAAGCTCAGCGGAGTTTTGTAGAGGGGTTGAACATGCACAGGAGTGGGTGATGATTCAGCAAGACGTTTGCATGAAGTTTTATAACAGCTCAGACGCCGCGAAATTTTGAGAAATGGCGGGGGATGGGTTCACAAGCGAACTGATTGAGCCATAGCGGGGGTGGGCGGAGGGCTCTGCACGGGACGTGCTTCCCACTTAAGTTCATAACTCGATTCCCTGAAGGGGTGGAGGCCTATAAAAATAAATAGAGTGAGCATTGGGCATAAATTTGGCGAAGCTCCGTCCTCGAGGCGAGCTGCGTTGGAAGCTACTTTGTAAAAACATGTGTAACTCCACTTAGGAATGTCTCAGGAAGTGAAGAGCAGATAATTAGGGGTAAGTGAAGAAATTCTATTAACTTTCCGAAGTGGGCAGGTTTTGCACTAAGGTGGATGTACGAC